TTTYTTATAAGGAACCTCCATACCAAATTGGTCACAAAAATCACCAAGTTGTTTTCTTTGAAGCAAATTTTGCTTACGGATTTGATGCTTTAATTTCAAATCATTGCAAAGGGAAAGACCTTCAGCAATACAAGTACTGATCAGTTGACCATAAGTATAATCATCATAATTGACGACAGCAGAGTCCTTTTTGAGAATTTTACGGAYTCTTTCAGCAAAAAGATGAGGGAGGCCATCAATAAATTTAGCCTTCCAATGACTGTTATTACAGTCTTTCAATTCAAAGATACGGGAAAGAAACGTATCTTTATACCAACGAAATTCAGTAAGAGTCTTACAACGAAGATTACTGATTAAARTCTGAATATTTTCACTGTTATCGGAAAATCTACCAGTAAAATGCTCTATAAGAGTAAGGACTAAAGGATAGACAACATTTGTTGTCTCTGTTCCATTTTCAGTCTTAACAGAGTCAAGAATCTGATCTTTCTGAGTTTGGGGAATATAATTATCCCACCAACCTTTGAGTTGGCCCGTAAAACCGGCTATAATCATTTTAGCAATATTCTTATCATTATTGCCTGTGGTCTTACAAACTGTACTATACATGAACATGCGATGAGCCATATTATAAATATGCTTATCAGCAAACCCATCAAGGTTCCATTCATAAATACATTTACCATTATAACTATTATTAATAATRTAYTCYTGTTCTTCATGAAGAACATCCAAAGGACTAGGGCGATKATAATAATACTTATTWAGATTCGGAGTCTTGGCCCATTTCATTTTATGAATTTGATTATTATGCAAATCATTATCCAAATTATCAGAAGGAATATCCTCATTAAGCATAGAAATGGAAGGCTTAGAAATATGCAAATGAGAAAGTTTTTGATCAAGCTGTTGCATAAAATCTTCAGCTGGGGATTTGAGTTTAAAATCAATGATTTCAGGAGGAGGCTGAATAGTTTTAGAGGTTAAAACGACTGTCTCAGAAGAGGAGGCAGTATCATCAGCAGGAGGACAAATATGGTTTTGGTTTTGCTGATTTGTCTCAAGTTGAGAGATCTTTTGTAAAATTAAAGAGATATTATCCTCAATAGAAAAAAGATGTTCTCCAATAATTTTTAACAAAAGGTTTGAATAATTCTGCTTTTCAAGAAGTTCGTTAATATGTAACGAAGTAACAGTAAGGGTGTTATCTTTTATAAGATTGGAAAAAGCAGAGAATCTGAAAAAAGAATTATTGTTTTTCATAAGAAAAGGAGACTGAGGAGGATACATAGTGGATTTAATATCCCCATTAAGGAGTTGATAATCYCTTTGAAGAACATTTATAAAATGTTTTACATGAGTATGGAAAAACCAGGGAATAAAAGCAAAAGTTTCATTTTTCTCTGTGCAAAAAGCATAGAATTCTGCAGAGAAATTAGCAATTTCTTCCTTGGAAAAGTTTTCAACATACCAGGTTCTAAAAAGAGMCCATTTRGGATTACCATAGTAATCTTTGCAGACAAGCTGTCTAGCAGGAGAACCATGAGTGAAATCTATTTTTCCCTCACTAGTGAACCAACTTCTAGAAGAAGAAAAATTCATTAAAAAAAACTATAGATTAAAGTCAGACATGGTCTCTATCCCCCTATGAGGTGGTCTGTTACTTACTTGAGTAACTGGATTGTTATGAACAATACCATTTTTATGAACTCTAAGTTCATCAAAAGGCTGTTGTGAAGAGGAGTCAATATGTTCCTCTGGCTCAGAAGAATGAGCTCTAGTGTCTCGTAAATACGAGGTCGAAGCCCTAGAAGGCTGGATTACGGAAGGTTGGTTTGCTTTAGTCCCGAAAGGGGAAATAAAGCTATGATTGCCATGGGATAAAGATTGAGACCTTAAAAGAGGTCTGGTCTCAGTATAAGAAATATTACGAGGGTCGTCGAATTGAACATAGACAGTACCATCGTCTGTCTGAGTGATATTACTAAAATCACTTTGAACAATAGGTTGTCTAGGAATATTCCTATCTAGGAACCATCCTTCAGGGAAAACTATTTCATCTCATTTGATAGATCTACGAGTTTGGATCTTAGATCTATTATAGTTGGTTTCTATGAGAATAGTCTCATTTATATCTTTATCAACTCTTTTACATCTGGGATTAAGAGTAAATAAAGGTTTGAAATATATTCGATAACAAATACAGAAAACYTCTGTTCCTGGAGTATAATTATAACCATGAGTTTTAACATTTAATGTTAAAGCATCCAGAAGATTAACATCTGTTAAAGATAAACTCAGATTAGGATAAACATCAAAATAAACAGGGCCATGGGCCAAACTGGATTGAATCATTCCAATTAAGGATTGTTGCCARTTWAGRTTTCTTCCATCTCTAAGAGCTGCAAGAAAACTTTCAGGTAATCCTACAAGAGTGAGCGGTTTAAAGGCAATTTGAACAAGACCAATATGTAAAAACTTATGAGTTTTGAAATAAGGCATGATATCTTTTTTATTTAAAAGACGAATCATCATTTCTTCTTTATGAAGTGGAATCGAAGATTCCGTGGTTTTAACAATATGTTTTAAACCAAGCTTTTCAAAAGTGCCTATTTTATAAATGAGTTTAGGCTCAACTCTGGGAATGGTCCAGTGATCAAGAAGAYCAASATCTTGAGGAATATCATATTCCTCTGTCATACTGTTATGAACAGTATCATCACCTCCAGATCTAAACAGATTCATATGAATCGTAAAACTGGGAAGGACAGAGTTAAAACAGAGTTTGAAACGATATAGAAATACAAAAACATGGCTCTGATACCATCTATGTCCCARATCTAACAAAAACAATCAAAACAGCCAAGTTTGCCTCAAATCTCAAACCAAGGTTTTAAATACCCTAAACGGCTCTCTTGGCCTCAGCGGGTGAAAACCAGTCTCAGAGATCACAGAGATAAACTAGTCTGTTGTTGAAGATCTTTACTAAATCTAAACATATAAACCAATCCATGTAAATCTATTAGAATATCAAATCAAAAATTGTGGCATTTATCTCAAACATAATATTACCATAATTCATTTTTATTTTTCAAACAAAACGATGCTTAAAATATAATTTAAATGAAAAAAGTGATATCTAAAGCGTTTTTGAGTTTTTCTTAAAAGAGTAAATTGCATGAAAAAATAACGTATTTTAACTTGAATTTTATTTGGGGTAACACACTTTTAAAACTTGTTTTTAATATCTAAGATGTAAAGTTTTAAACATCTAAGTACCCGGGTAACTGATTGAAACATTAACTGGTTACCATGTTGATGTTACGAGTGATTGGATGAAGTTGGGTTGAATAGCAAATAATACTAAGTTGGATACCCACATCACTCGTCACATCAGCATGATAACCGATTAATGCTTCAATTGGTTACTTGAGTATTTAAATGTTTAAAACTTTATATTTTAGATACCAAAATAGAAGTTTTGATAATACATTACCTAAAAAAGAATCAAGTTAAACTATGTTACTTTTTTTTTGTAATTATATAATATATATATATATATATGTAATTTGACTGAAAATGAATATCATTTGTATGTAATTAATATGTATAATACTTTTTAATTAAAAAGTTGGAAAGATTTTAACAAAAAAGTGTCTTCTTTAATGCTAAAAAGTACTTTTAATAACCTTTTTAAATTGTAATAAATTTTCAAAAGTTTTGTGATTTGAGATCCTCAAAGTTTTTTTTTTTTTTTTTTCTTCCCTAAACGGTAGCACCATTTGATTATAAGAAAAAACAAATATAAGAAAATTTTCAAAATATACTATTTGACTATTTTTAAACAGTGGCACCATTTGACTAAGAAAATGACATTAACAATATTCGAACTTGGGTTTAGGGTGAAACAAAAGCCTTGCAAACCAACTTTACAAAATAAAACTTGTTCTCATTGTAGTTTCAAAATACATACAGTAACACATAACAAATTAACACGGTTGCACTTTTTCACGAACCTAAATTTTTTAACCCTTTGACAGAAGAATAATACGGTGGCACGTGCCACCGTTTGCTCCACTCTAGATCGGTCCATGCTTCAAACGATTGTTTGATAAATTTAATTTGAAAATTCTATTAAAAAAAGATCGAAAGATCTTTAATAATTTTTTTATAATTTATTTAAAATAAAGAAATACTAAATGTAACAGTCTATAAAAAAAATTGTTTACTTATAACAGATTATTTATTTTAAATTTTTTAATAATATTATATTATATATTAAAATATTCTATAAATTTATCATATTCTAAAAAAATACTAATAATTTAAGGCTTCATAAATTTATTTCATATCATCTAATTTAATACTTCATATTTTTAATTTTAAACAAAAGTATTTTTGTACGGAAAAGAGTAGGCTTTATACCAACAGAAGCTCCCAACTCATCTGCTTTCCAAGATTCTGAATTCAATGCATTTTCAACTCTCTCTCTCTCTCTCTCTCTCTCTCTCTCTCCATGCATATGGTGTTAATTAGTTTACAAAAAAACGAGAAGGGTGATGCGCACAGCCAAATCCAATGCCACCTGTTGTTCTTACAAATCATAGAGACTCCAACAAGACTGTTTAAAACCCCCATTTCTCTCTCAATTAAGCAACCGATTATCAGATTTCCCTTTGACTTCTGTTCTTCTAGATGGGTCTGTCTGTTCATCGGAGAGAATCCATTTTCATTTAGGTAACCGGAACCTCCAAACCTTACATCATTCCGAAGGAAAACCCTTTCTTCAATTCCTTCATCTCTTTTATATACTCTGAGAGCTAAATTATCAGCAACCGGGTTATCAGATACATCGGTAAGTTGTTTTCTTGATGAATATTTGCTGTTTTCTTTCTGGAGTTTTGAGAATTTAGGGTTTTGATTTCACTTTCTTGATAAAGAAGTTGAGCTTTTCTTTTATCTGGGCTTTTGTGGTGGTGCAGTTTGCCAGTTTGGACTCCATGGCCGGCGCTCGTGAAGTTTCTGGTGAAGTAGCAGCAACAAATCAACCAACAGTGGCTGCTTCTCTTGCTGTTGTTAATTCTGATCGCCGTTCCGTCGTCACCAATTTCGTGTCTGGAAACAGCACTGATCGTTCAAGGTCGCAACTGAACATGCAACATATCGTTCATATGTTTCCTTCTCTGAGGCTGAATCCCATGGCTGAAGAATTCGTTCCTTCTCAAACTCTCATTGATCAGAACCAGATGGCCCTCGATTACAGCGGCCGTGCACCACCTGTTCATCAGAATTCTCCTGGGCATCCGCATCGGATTGATGCAAACACCTATGACCGCGGCAACGTATATTTCTCGATCTTGCTTCTGTTTAGTTTATTTTCACTCAATCTCATCTTTTCCAATTGAATTTTGGTCTTACATTGATGGGTTTCTTTAGTTTTGTGCTTTCCGATTGTATAATTGTTGTTTGATCCTCTTCCATTTTTAGGGTTTTTCCATGGGTTCTTATCACCAAATCTGATTTTGTCTCATAAAGACTGTTTCTTGATTAATGGTTTGATCTCTTGTGTCCTAAATATAAACTGAAATGTTGTTTGTTGCTGTAAATTTGTTTACTTGTGTTTGATATTTGGATAGATCAAGTAAGAACTTCATGGCAATATATGTGGAAACTAATTAAAGGAAATATCTTGGCCTTTCGATTTTTCGAAACTGATATGAGCATTGCATATTCTAGATTGGGTGTAATTGCGGATCAATTTTAAGCTTCAAAACCACCATTCGAGATTCATACTTGCTTGATGTCGTGATCTGATCTTGATATGGATACGGGTTTATTGATATTCTTATGTTCCAATATACGACTGATCATACTTCTTGTTCGTTGTGTTTTCAAGTTTTAGAATATAAGCACTTGTTATCTCTAATCTAATTTCATCTGTTTCCATGTTTCCAAAGATCCAAATGGAAGCTCATGTATGATAGCATCGATCCTTGATCATCGTTATTAACCATATATCGAATATCCAATACGTGCACGAACATGAAACGATCATAAAAACTATATTGTTTAGGTTATCTTTTGTTGCTACGCCAATAAATTTTACAATCCATTTTTGTACATTACTCTTCTGTCTTTGAAAATGGCCCAATTCTTTGCAACATGAAATATTGCTGTTATCTATCTGCTTGTAAAACTCTCAAGTTCCATTCTTTTTTGTTATGCCAGTATAGGAATGTCTATAGCCAAGACAGAAGAAGGTTGACCGAAGCATTGAGATCATTCAGTGATCTAAGAGAAGATCGATATCGTACTCAAAGGACTGTGTTTATTTCAGAAGTTGATCATAAGGTGAGCAGGCATAGTTGGTAGCTTAATGTGTACATTAGTTACTTGTCTGATCATTTTTAAGCTGTCTTTCTTTGGAAAGATGAAGGTATAATCTGTCTCCTTTTACAGGTCAGTGAAGAGCGTCTTGCTGACCTATTCAGCATCCTTGGACAAGTAAGTTCTTGTTCTTTGTTATAAGTTAATCACTTCCCAATAATATTCGGAGTTCTTTGATAATTTGCAAGTTAATTAAATCATAGAGAAAAAAATTTCTTACTGCAAAGTCTCATCCTTTATGAGTTACATACATGTGATCATGGTCGCTACGAAGGTTCTGGACTGTCGGGTTTGTGGTGATCCATTTTCGAATCCGCGTTTTGCGTTTGTTGAGTTTTCAGACGAGAGTAAGTTAGATATTGTGGCTTTATATCGATCCTCTTATATACAACTGTGTTTAAAGTTGTGTAAGTTCTTATATATACTGTCATTAATGGTGGGCATGGCACGTTCGGCCAGGCTCTGCACGGGCAGCTCTCAGCCTGTCTGGGATAAAGGTGGGATCCTCTAAAATAAGGGTTATGCCTTCCAAAACTGCCATCCATCCAGTCGATCCAGCCCTCCTACCCCAGGTATCGGTAATCAGTTCAGTTGTACTAATGAGATTCAACCAGCACCTTTTTTGTCTTAATTGATTACTGATGGTTTATGTTTTCTGATCTTGATCAATGGGTTGGCATTCAGTCAGAAGAGGAGAGGGAGAAGTGTGCAAGGACAATCTGCTGTACAAATATAGACAAGCAGGTTTGGAGCCTGCCTTGCAAGTATTGTATATGAATCTTTTTCGTCCCCATTAAGACATTTAAGCATTGTTTGTTCACAGATTACATAGAAAATCAAGGCTGAGCTTAATTGAATCAGAGTTCTTTATTTCTGTAACGGTTTGAAGATTTCATTGATCGTTGTACGACTGAATGCAGGTTACTCAAGCTGGTCTGAAGTCTTTCTTTGAAGCTAAATGCGGTGAGGTTTCTCGCATGAGGCTTTTGGGGGATAAAGTTCATTCAACGCGCATCGCTTTTGTTGAGTTTGTGATGGTAAGTAATTAATTATCTCGTTACGAGTTCCGTATTAATTCTATGGTTAAAGATCACCTAACCCAATTCTAGTGAACAGGGTTTAAGTAAGAAAACACGAGAATACCTGCATAAATCATCGTATATCTTGTGCTAGCCTCCTCTAATTTCTTGAATGTATATAAACACCCATTGATCTCCAATTCCAGATTTGAGCCAAGTGTAATCACTTGTTTCAAATGAGGTTTATCTGGTGTCTAGGCACTTTATCTGATTGGTTTGAGCTTGACTCCAAAGGTCAAAAGTACCTAGAGGTCCCAGGTTCAAATCCAAGGAGGAATAAAAATCCCCTCGTGGCCACCGAGGTTCAAATGCGGTGACTTCAGGCTATCTGCAAAGCAGGTGGTCGCCCTGGGATTAGTCAGCTCGCATAGCGGGTTGGATATCCAGGTTAATTAAAAAAATGTTTAAGTATCTTAATATACTACTTTATAAGACTTTGGTTTATAGGACCAAACTTTTGGGTGTTCTATTTGAGCTAAAAATTGTTATAACAAGTTAAAAAGGACATTTTTAAGCGTCTTAAAAAGTATTTTAGGACACTTTTGAAACAAATTGTATTGTTAACCCCTTTATACGACATTATTTGAAATAATGTCTTGTACAAAATATTTTTTTACAAGACACTTGTTTTATAAGACACTTTTTCAAATAATGTCATGTAAAAGAGCTAATAAGACGCTTTGTTTCAAAAGTGTTCTAAAAAGCTTTTAAAGAACCTCAAAAGCATCATATAAACTTATAACAACACCTTTAGACAAGACACATAAGTGTTTAGTCCTATAAACTTAAATCCTATAAAGTAGTCTACCACGACGCTCGAACATTTTTGGAGTCTTATAAACCCGATTTGTAGTATCGAGAGTTCTCAAAGATATACTTCTAGCTGTCTAGGAGCTTTTATGCGTGTATTCTAAAGAAGATCTTGAGGCATGTAATAGTCGAAAAACTGGACAGTCACTTTGTCGAATACAAACGGAAATACTGCTCAAAATCCAGACGATTTCGACAACAAAAACCCCATTTGGATTCTTTTTTTAGTCATGTTATCTTGTTGATCATGATTTGCAGGCAGAGAGTGCAGTTATGGCTCTAGATTGCTGTGGCATGAGGTTGGGAAGGCAACAAATCAGGTAATTAAACATGCTAAACACTTTAATTTCGTTATAAAATAGTTTCGAAATACGCATGAAATATAAAACACGATACATATCTTATTTCATTAATCATCGTGTGTCATTCAGACCCGTTCGTTTAACGTAATGATAACAGTTAGTAAATTAGTTACAGACGTAAACTCCTCAAATGTACTAATCTCGAGTACTGCTACGTGCTTCCATTGGAACGGTTTTTCGGTCCTTTTATAATACATATTGATATAGGAGTACGTTAATACATCACTTGTGGTGTATCAAGTACGACTCGTGTACTTCACGTGACACCGTCTCCCGTTCGACCATGACTGGTCGTCGGGCGTCGGTCGACTAACGTAATGGCAAAAGAGAATCCATGCAATCATTTCAAAGTGAATCTTTTTGGTATAAATGCATGTCAAGGTCGAATTAATTTTATGAAACCCTAAAAACAGTTATAAAAATCCTCAGTGTTAAAAAGGAGACTTGAACCAATTTAGGGGTGTTTGGGATTGCTTATAAAAACAACTTATTGACTTATTTCAGTGTAACACCGGTAATAAGCATTTTTGAGTGTTTGGAKAAACAACTTATACCGGTGCCAAACCGGTAATAAAGAGTTTTTGAAGAAGTTAAACCCTTCTGACTTATAATAAGTTGATAAATGATTTTGTAGAAAAACATAAATCCATGTAGGTTTTGCAAAACAGGTCCTTCATCTAGTTTATTGGAGTCTGTTTTATTATTATTTATAAATATCGAAATGCTACATTTATTAGAGAGTGTTGCTCTACTTTTTCTAGGGTGAATCCTTCCAAGACTCCGGTGAGGGCTCGAGTTGGTCGTGCATTCCGAACCAACTGAACACTCGATGGATCGTTTTGTCCGGTATAGGAGACGTTTTCCATTCCTTTATTTTCGCCGTTTCTCCTATCTGGACTTGTGCAACAACGTTATACATGTTAGTGAAGTAGCTAAAGTCGTGAACTATAGACTACCCCAAATTGAACGATGGTAGTTTTTATGGCTTCCGTTTGTGATGTTTGTGTCCCAGAGAGGCTATGCGATGGTTTATGAATGCTTTATGCTTTTACTGCTCGTTTTTATGCATTTCCCGGTAGAAAAGTTTGCGCCTTGTACCATAGCTAGTAACGTCTTTTAGTACACGACTTATCCTTCCAGTTCATGCTTTATAGTTTTGTCTTATAAACCTAAGTTTTACAAAGTATTCTAGTCACATCCTTTGGGGTTAAAATAGATTAATTTACCAACGGCTTAAGTTTATAAGACCAAATAATTGTTCGTCATAATGTTGTAATAAGTTTATATGACATTTTTTTAACAAGTTTTTAGAGTACATTAAAATAAAATAACATTTTTTTACATAACACTTCTCTATAAACGTATTTTTTATAGGATAATTGTTTTTATATGATATTTTTGAAATTATGTCATAAAAAACTAATATGATACTTTATTTTAAAATGTCTTAAAAACTTATTAGAACACGTAAAAGTGTTCTTTAAACTTATTTCATCACTTTTAGTTTTTGGTCCTGTTAACCTAAGTCATATAAAACAGTTTATTAAGATACTTAGCCCTTTTTGGCTTTCTTTAAACCTACTTTAGGGGTTGTTTTGTTGGTTTTCATCTTGTATGGATAAAGCGGTTTGTGTGGATTAATCTGTCTGTATATATTGTGAATATTTTTGTTTGAGAGAGTTTTATCATAGATGCAAGGAGTATGTTTTTTAATTGGGACTAGTAGTGATGGCCAAATCGGCCTGGCCTGGCCCGGCCCAGTCCGGGACTGTCGGAGGACTGAAACCGGGACCGGCAAAGGACCAGTTATGGGACCAAAAACCGGGACCAATTGGGGTTTTTGGTAGTTTCGTGGGACCGAGACCGGCCTGAAAATTCTGATAATTTTATAAATAACTGTATTTTTAAATAATTTTGTAATGTATTTTTTTTAAGACAACGTAATTTTAATTATATTAAAATGCATTTTTAAAGTGTATTTGAGTGACCCATCGAGACCCCATAACCGGTTTGATTCGTCTTGACCGGTCTTCATCTTTTCGACCGGGACCGGGACCGATACCGGTTACACTGGGACCGGTTATGACCAATTATGTGGAACCTTGGGACTGATCGGGACCGGCCCGACCCAGCTTGAGACCGGTTTTTTGCCACCACTAAATTTGGGAGGGGCAAATAAAAAATGGACTAATGACTCGTAAGTCGTAACCCATTAGCCAACAACTGATAAGAAAAACGGCCCATTCACAACTCACAACAATAGTGGTTAAGCCCATTATCTATTTCAGCTAAGTTATTCTCGGCCTAATATTTATAACCCAAAATACCGGTCCTAGGTTTTATATAAATTAAAATCTTATTTTAATACATTCAAAAATATATGATTGACCCGATCAAATACACTTAAAAGGAAAGACAGAAAGAGATGAGAAGTAGGAGTTGTTAAAAATCGAAATTGAATACGAGTCGAAATCACGAATTACAGCGAGAATTGTGAACATTTTTTGTATTTGTGAGTTGATATATTCCCCTATATACACCATGTGAATTATATATCGTGTATAACGGGTATATGAAACATAAAGTGGTCAAAAATGAAAAAAAAAATATAGAAAGTCATATGAGCGTTGGGCAACGACTTTTTAAAAAATTAATCGGGCCGGTCCTAGAACGGGCCCATAACCGGTCCCGGTCCGGGCCAGACCTTATTTTTTGATGAAAACCGTAACCGGTCTTTAAATGGCGGTATCAAATCGGTCCCAATTGCCTTCGAGCCGAGCCGGTCCCGATCTCGATTCTCCACCATTTCTACTTACCACCATGGTGCCACCGTCTACTGATGACAAAAGTGGTCTGGACCGATTGGGTTTAGTTATTGATCCGATAGTCCAGAATCAGTAACAAATTTTACGAATTTTCAAAGTCTGATTTGGTGCGGGACTAGCAATGGGACCGGTGCCAGTTATGTACAAGACCTATTTTTTATTTTTATTTTAAAAGTCTTTATTAATTGTAATACTTAGTTTTTCATATCTTTTACAAGATTTTCAAATTCTCTTTTCAAAAAAAAAAATAGATTATTTCAGGTAAATGTATTATTTAAATTGTATTTCAATACTACAATTTTCTAAATTGTAAGAACATTTTTGTATAAAATGATTAAAAAAATATTTTTTAAAAAGCAGGTTTAGGACTGGGGCCGGTTACCGAGTCCAAGATTAGTCTTGGGATTTTGGTCGGGACGATGACCGACCGACTCGATTTTAAAGGGATTGATTTGGAAGCAATAAATTAGATTCTCTCTAAATGGTTTTACTCATCCTTTCTACATAAAATGTATTTAGCTTCATTTTTGTATGAAAATCTACACTAAAATGAAATATTAATTGCTATGACTTGGGATCATGTGAAACCAAAGGTTTTCCATGAGATCCGTAGGACCAATTCTCAACCAGTGGATTAGATCTACAATCTGACAATCTAAACATTCATAAACGCCACGAGACTTATCAATAATCACAAAACCGTGCAACTTTAAACCATTAGATCATTAGCTTATAAAGTTGATCAATAAACATAAATTGGTCTTACGTGTCTCACAAAAAACCTTTGGTCTCACGTGAACCCAACCCTAATTGCTATTTATCAACCAAATCACCACCGTGACAATCCCATATAAGATTTCAATGAGTAAATTGCATTTCTGATCCCTATAGTTTGTTGATCTTTTCAGATTGGATGCTTCAAAAACATTTGTTGCAAAAAAAACACTATGGTATGCAAAAATTCTCGGGTCTAGTTCGTGAGGCAAACGCCGTTAGTTTCTCTTCCGCTAAACTCAACCATGTGACTTGCACATGAGGGTATCATTGTCTTTTTAGACTATTCCTCTCTTTAACCTAAAAGAACTATGTTATCCCAATCTCTCTCTCTCTCTCACCCCTCCCTCCTTATCTCTTTCTTCTCTCAAGCCTCCCATCTCAAAATCCACCTTCACCGGTGAAAGTTCGGATGGAAGCTCGCATGGTAACGAAGTTTGATGATGGTGGCAAAGGCATCCACATCTCTTCTTCTATCTCTCTATAAGTTGAAACTGAATCAAGAATCAACGTCCATAGAGATGCATTTGTTCTAAATCAGATCCAAACAGAACTCGATAAAGTTTTTCATGAGTTCTTAAAAAAAGAACCAGATTTAGGGTTTCAGTTGCAGAATTGAAATTCATAACCTAATCCAAGGCATGATGTTTCTTCTTCTTCTCCATTGTCATCATCATGGTTTTAAGGGTTCCATTTGAGTTTGGATTTTGGTTTTGGTTTTGCTTTTGGGATTTGATTTAGGGTATGATTTTAAGGTTTAATTTGGGGTATGATTTTAGGGTGTTGATTTTAATGTTTGTTCAAATATATTATGATGTTCTTGAGATGCCTTTATTTAATTTACTGTATTTTGATTTTGATTTGCTTAATTTTCCTGGGATGCTTATTATTCAATGTTTGTATTTGCTTTTAGATGAGATCTTTATGGTGGTACTGAGCTGAAATATATATATGGGTGGTTTGAGATGGTGGCGGTCCAGTTCAGATGGTGGTGGTGGTATAGTAAAATATAACAAATCTAATAATACAAAAAAGTGAGTGAAAAGACCAAAATGCCCTCATATGCAAGTCGCATGGGGGGTTTTGACGGGAGGCAACCTAATAGAGTTGGGGTCAAGAACCAAAAACCATGCATTTTTGAGGTTTTTTGTAATAAAAATTTTGTAAGGACCCAAACCAAGAAAATCGACAAATCACTGAGACAAAAGATGCAATTTACTCTTTCAATATTTTCGTTTTTAACCTAAGTTTTGACTTTTTATATTATTTATAAATCATGAAATGCTGCATATATTAAAATTATTACACTTTTTATTCCAGGGTGAATCCTTTCAAGACTCCGATGTGGTCTTGAGATGGTCGTTCATTCCCAACCACCTGAACAGTAAATGGATTGTTCTGTCAGATGCAGTAGATGTCTTTTGTTTCTTTTTCTTTCACCAATTTCTCTTATCTAGACTCATTACAACAACCGTACATTTTAGTGAAAATAGCTCAAAAGACCATACCGAATCGGACTGTGGTAGTTTTCAAGGCTTGTTCATCTGTGATGTTTGTGACCTAAAGAGGCTATTATGTTGTTTTATGAACACTTATTGCTTTTATTGTATATTTTCTTTTTCATTTTCTGGTAGGCAAGATTGTGCCTTTTCCAATAGCTAGTAATATTTGTTGGTAAGTGATTTATCCTTCGAGTTGGATGCGTTTTGAACCCACTTCATTTCAAGTTAGAACGTTGAAGCGTGGAAGAACAAATATGAAAAATCTACCAATTATAGCAATAGATAAATAGCTACAAATTGGTAAATCACTCGATTTTTATAGACTAAAATCTATAAAAGTTAAGCAAGACATAGCCGTAAACTAAGCTGCATATATCTCATAACAAACAACCATCTTCCTATTTTTCATCGAACTCCCTAAACCGAAATCTATTCAAAATCCATAACCACATATACATATATATCTGAAGAGCTAATGAATTGTATTTTATAACTCATAAACTCATACTCTTTTTGTTATATATATATATATATATATATATATATATATATATATATATATATATTTGAGTTTCTAAGTATAACACACACACACACACACACACACACACATATATATATATATATATATAAGTGTGTTATTATACAACTTTTTATATTTGTATAACCAATACAACTCAATCTCAACCGTCCATTTAATTTGATAAATATGTGATTTCAT